GTAATTTTTTGGTGTAATTATTTAAACATTAAAGCAGTGGAGCGAGCAGCTGGCAATGCAATGTGCTTCTTTAGTTTATTTTCAGTGAAAACAAGAAAGTCATAGACACGAAAATAAAATATCATCACCCATTAGACCCAGCGATCTATCTAGACCCCAGTCACAGTCGCCGTCCGTTCGTAGAGTCGATGTGTGTAATTTTCCGTTTCATTTCTTGTTGCTTTGCTCAATTTACAGATCTGTTGACGGCTATAATTTTTCTGGCTTTAAGGCTTCTCAAGTCCAAAATAATGAGTAAGGGATTTCTTCTATTTTTTTTGTACCAAAGAAGGCCAAAAGTAACCTGCTTTCTTCTGCTATTGTTTTGTTTTTGTTATCTTGTTGGGTGAAACTTTGTCTAATGGACACAATTTGTTAGAATTTTAAATTTTTCTTTCTTTTCATTGTATTATTGATGCCCTGTAAGTATTGAGAGCAAGTAAAGTGTGCCTGGTATTGATAGAGGCAAGAGTAAATATACTAATATAATCATATATCATATAGTGCGCACAAATAGAATGCATTTCTCCACTGAATCTGGGTATTTAGAAGTCGTGCATACTCTTGCTTGCTTCATAATACCTTTTCTCGTGTTATAAGCGGAAGAGCTGCATTAAAGTCGATGCCTTGGCGGAAACTGAACGAAAGCAATCAACAGCTGATGCGGACAGAGAGACAGACACCAAAGAGAAGGAGAGAGAGAGAGAGAGTGAGAGAGTAGGAGAGGAACAGTAGCCAGAAGAGAACCTACGACAACAATTTGAACAGGGGCTGCCAGAGAACAGCGCATGTGCCATGACCTTCAGACATTTAGCCTAAGCAGGTGACTGCTGTGGGTGGCTTGCGTCTCAACTTTCGCTGGGCAGCTGCTGAGATTTGCTGAGCGCCTGGCGAAAAACGTAATGGCGAGTTTGTGTGTTGACAGAATCGAGCGCCAAAAATTATTATGCTGCCTGTTGCCTGTTGGCACAGTTGCCACAGCTGCCACAGTTGGCCCATTGGACTCTGTGACAGTTGGCTAACAAATGCTGCGCGCCTAATCGAGGCGCCAGCGAGCGCGGCGACTTGACGGCGCCGTCGACGTCGTTCGATAGATGCAGTTAGACACAGGTGAATGGCTGGCCCCACGCTTTTATAGTCGCCATATGCATACATATAAAGGTTGGAGGTTGGTCAGTTAAGCAGGCAGCACACAATCAATGATTCGCTGCGCCATGCGACGCGGTTGTCAGAAGCTGATAGAAGCAGCGTTCGATTTGCCAGCCCCAACTAAAACATACTTTTCACACATTTCACACAAATATTGCCCCAATGGGGCGGCAAGTTCAAAGGGCGCGCGCAGTCAACGCGAAACTCGCTTGACCCGGTTTTAAATGTTCATTTTCACACCGGCTCCAACAAAAAATTCCATTTCGAATTCCAAAATTCCAAAAGCTTAGCCAAAAAAAAAAACACACACAACGAAACATTAGAAGATGCTCAACGAGCTAATTGACTCGGAATCGGACATGGATCAAGATCAAGTTAAGCCACGGGCAATGCTTTTCATATCCATCTTCGACTCTGCTCGACTCTGCTGACAGCATCTTTGTTGTCGCCGTCTGCTAAATTAGCGGTAATTAAAGTGTTACAAGGTGTTGCCGCTGTGTGTGCCCCAAAGAAAGTTGAAGATAGCCAGAAAACTAAAATGCTGATAAGTAGATGAATGAACTGTAGAACAACTAAATTAGAGATAAACACTCGTTCTATGGCTTATACAATAGAAGAGATTGCTTAAATCTCAGATAAAACTATTTACAGTTAAGGAAATAAAATAAATAAATTTAAATATATTATAGAAAATATATATAAATGTAACTAAATTATATATTTCTCAATAAGCTTAAGCATTTGCCTTTAAACTAGAAATTCATTTAAATCATATACTTTAGCTCTTCAGGTTTTTTAATCATATTTCTTTATATTACTTAAAACCCTTTTAAGTCTGAAGAGAATATTTTTAAATATATTAGAGCTTATAGTATATATATAGTATATATATCTAGTTAATACTGTCACTTCTTATATAGATTTATATTTTAATAGCATTTTTAGTGAACCATAAAATTACTTAAATTATATAGAAAATATGTATTATAATAATTTATAAATTATGTTGTAATCCTATATAAAAAAATATATATTTAATCTCACATTTCAGTAAAAAATAGTTCTAGAATTTCAATAGAATTAGTTTAGCAAATATGAAAAATACTTTCAATACATAGAAAATTTGTATTATTCTATTTTGTAAACTAGAAATAAATGTTTTTTTTTTTTGGTTTCAAAATCTTTCTGCCCCACGCACACCAGTTCTTGTCAGCACCCAAAATACTATTGTGCCCCTGAGCGTAATCATCTACTACTATTATGTATAACTCATGCCTCTTTCACAAACTCATTTGTGCTTTTTGTTTGAGGGAATTTCAACCACAACCAGATGTTATAGGTCACGGAAGAAGAACCGCTGTGCAAACAGAAAGCACACAAGACTTTGCCAGCTTTGAACTATGAAAATGAGTTGTTTAGCTTGTTAGCTGACTGGCTGGCTGGCTGGTTAGATGGGTAGCTTCGGGAAAACCGGTTGAGAGGGTCTTGTCGAGTGGTTTTTCGGCAAACGCTTTCATTTTCACTTAATAAGCGACAGTTAACTTCTTTCTTTCTTGGACAGTCCCCAGGTTGATGTGCGTTTCCGTGTGCCCCAGCCAAGGCAAGCCAAGCAATTCATCTCAGCATTGGCATCGCCATCGTCCACTTTCCAAACAAACAACCCACACACAACCAAACGAATACAACTCTGATGACCTGCGCTTTAAGTTATGCACCGAAGCAGCTTTGATTGAGGTTTTTCTCTGATTGCGTGTGTCTCGTGTCTTGGGAAAGTGTAAACTGTGACTCCCATTGAGGGAGAGCCCACAATATGCCAGATACAATATACCGTATACCCACTGTCATACCAGGACAGAAAAACAAGAATTAACTAACTAAAACTTAGCTTTTTCTTTAAGCAAAGAAAGATTAATTAAAAATAAATTTAAAATAAAGAATATTTACTAAAAATACCGTTCATAAAAATAGTAGTGCTGCACTACACTAAATTTAAATCAAAGAAAACGGTACTTTCGTAACAATAAATATCTAAATTAATAAAAAATATAATTATAAATAATATTAATTTCAATAACTTTTAAAATTATTCTGCTTATCTGTAACTTTTTTAGTTCAACATTGAGTGACAAGTCGCACTACTATTTTAATGAACAAAGCTTTATGACATATAAACTGATTAATAAAAATGTAGAAAATTTAAATTATATCAAATTCTTATGAAAATGTAAAAATTATCTATTTCTTTATTCATAATGCTCACTCATAATTTTTTTCAGTGTACATATTGCACATAGCATATTTTCTAGTCTGGGCAACTCTATTTTTCACTTTCTTTCATCTCTCAAGTTTCTTGAGTAGATTTGATGCTGTTGTTTTTGTAATTGATGAGGGTCGCTCAATGGCGAGATCTTGAGATCTTTTTGTTTTTGTAGCTTTATTTCGTTGTGTGTCGGAGCTCAGAACGTGTCTGGCTCTGGGACTGCCACATTGTGGCATCCACAACTGCTAATTGTTTAATCATTGCCAGAGCTGTCAAAATACAGGTTGCTATAATCTATGGGCTTTTAGATAAGCTGTGTTAATTGGAAAGTTCGTGCGTGTGTGTGTGTAGGCTAAGATCTTCCCGTTCGATTTGGCATTCTTCTGGGTGTGCTCTTCTCACGGGTGGGTCTATGAGCACACACAACTGTGAATCGCTCTTTGACTCATTTTGAATAGCAGAGTCGAGGCACAACTTTAATATCAGCTGCATTTAAATGTTGATCAAAAAAGTCTATCAAAAGCAACTTAAGTTTTGCTTATATGGCCTATAACTGCTTTTATACTGGGCTAATTGATTGACGAACGCCAAAGGCAATTAACTTGACTTTGAAGCATAGCAAGAGGAAGTTATGGGCCTAATATGAGGTATTACCTATAGAAATTATGTTGTAATTGTAGCTTATAATATTTCCGCATTACAATAAGTTGGAAGCGAAATAAAAACTGCCTGGAAAAATGTTTGTTGGGCTAAGAACCTTGAGATTAACGTCATTTTGTAACAATTATAAATTTGTTAAGGAAAATGATTTGACAAATAAATTCGGACAATGCTTTTTAAGCTTGAACTTGAGTTGGTTGTCGGATGCTCCGTAAATCACAATTAAAGTTAAGTCTCCCACAAAGATTTTGTATATTATATGTAGATAGTTAACTCATATACAATACTAATACTAGCTGAATATATTAACTAGATGAACTATATAAAGTATATATAGTAGTTTCTATTTATAAACTATATGAACTAGATGAACTGTATGAACTATATCAACTATTAGAACTAGCTAAACTATATAAGCTATGTACTCTACACGAACTATTTAAACTATATGAACTACATATCTAAACAATATGAAAAACCATATACAAACAATATAAAAACTATTGCAAATATTGACATTTTAATACAGAAACTTTTCTTAGGAATATGCATCTGCATTCCTGTCTTTACTTATCTAAGCCTCTTAAGCATTTTCATATACGTAGTACTGTCTGATAATTTATTCACTAATCTTAATCTCAAGTTTACTTAAATACAATTGAATATATGTCTGTTTAAATCAAGTAAAACAGAAGTCAAAAAGAGTTTCATTTCTTTTGGGTCTTTCCCGAATGCCTAATCGAAAACTCTTGAAAGTCGTAAGAAGATTTGGTCGATTTTAGCGACTTTCAAGCTAAATATTAGCTCAAATTAGATAAGTAATTACATACAAACAAACACACATACATATGTTTATATATAAACAATATAATGAATTATCATTGAAACTCACCTCGGTCCATGACGACGCTGCTGTCGCCACTGCTGCTGGCGCTGTCATCGTGCTGCAGCTCAGCCGGCGACTGTTTTAGTGGTTCTTTCTGCTCCTGCCCGGAAAAGTGGACGCTGCCGTCGCGATGCAAATAGAGTTCGAATCGTGTAGGCAGATGTGCTTCGTAGTCATCGCTGCTGCAGTGCAGCGCCTGGCCGGCCACCTTCAAATAAAGCGAAACGAACTGATAGATTAGCGCCCAGGCCTGATCCTCGGATACGGGCGCCTTGAAGCAGTCCAAAATGTTGTTCAGGGATACGCATTGGTCAGTGCAGTTGCACTGATGGAACGCCTGCAGTAGTAGCTGGCGGGCAGTGAGAGGTTCGGTCAGGCCGTTGCCATTGCCGTTGCTCTGCTGCAGTTCGCGTGGCTGCACGTGTGTGTGTGTGTGGTGCGTGCGTGTGTGTGCGTGTGCATCCCCGTTGGCGCTGTCCGGCGAGGTGGAGAGAAAACCCTCTTCGGCCTCTCCTTCGGCAAATTGACGACGCTTTGTCGTGGCCTTGGGCGTTGTTGTTACTGTCGGTGCAGATGTTGTTGTGGCCTTGACGACAGAAGCATCGGCGTCATCAACGTCGCCTGTCAGGCTGTTGTCCAATTGGAGTTCCGTCATTGTTGTTGAGGCTCCTTCTGCTTTTATATCTATTGCTGTTGCTGATGTTGTTGTGGATTTTTTTTGGTGTTGTTTTTCAGGCAACAAACCAATAAACTGCAGCCGCACGTCTCAACATATAAAAAATTGATAAATTTTGTAATTCAACTTGAAATTTAAACAATTTGCTGTTGCTGTTATTACTGGCACTTTTGTTGTTTGTTGTTGTAGTCGGTTATTTATTTAGTCAGGCACACACATTTACACATTTATTTGCTCTTAATTCTAACATGAAATACAAAACATGTAGCACAAAAATAATTGTTGAACAAACACACACACTAAGGAGGGAATTCTTTTTTCTATTTAATTTTTTTTTTTTGCTTTGCTTCTTTTTTTCGGCCGTCACGTTTTGTGCACTTGTCGCTTTTTGCCGTTATTTGCTATTGGCTTGCGCGGTCTTCCTCTTCATCCACTTTTTTTCCTTTCGTTCTATCCTCTGCTGCGCGCCTTTGCCGCTTGCATTTAACACTTGCTGTGCGGTAGCGGTTCGAGAGTTTCGTTCACTCTTTGCCCTGTGCTAAACAAAATCACGCGCGCGCTTTGATTAGAACACAAATCAAATTAGATTTGTGTGGCTCTTGTTTTTTTTGTTATATTTTATATTTATTTGTTATTGCTGTGCCTTGACGTCAAAAATGTTAACTGCATTTGCGCTTAGATAATTCTCACACACTTTATCAACCGGTCTGATTCGATTCTGCTTTTACGATTTATTCGGTTTCGTGCTTAACAAGAAGCGCGCACACACGTCCGATCGCCATGGAAGCCAAATACGAAATAACAGCTGTTAAGCTGTGTAAGAAACTGGCGTCTGTAAACGTAACATGAGTCGGCTTAACGACAGTGCTGGCAACTGCGCTATTTTCCCGCTGAATTTAGCTGTTATTATATTGATTAGGCTTGTATGTTAATTATATTTAAATGTCTTCATGTATGGTTTCTCAAAACGTATTATATGCACTATTGACTGACTTTAAAATAATTTTGATGGGGATTTTTTCATATAGCCATTGTTACACTGCATAGTTGGAAAACTATATTGCGTGTAGCAGCGCGTGCTGAGTTAACAGTTGAACTCTTCTGGTCTTTTAACATAACAGCGCAATAGAGAGCGCCTGTTAAGCGGCCGCTCTTCCATTAACATTTTATGCTCTCTGTGTTTTTATTTTGATTCCGGTTTTTCGTTGTGTTTGCTGCTGATAAGAGTGTATTTTTGGTCTTCTTATTGGCATATGAGTTTTTTTTATGTTTTTCTTTTGTTTTTGTTTTTTTTTTCTTATTTTGGCAAAAACACAAATTTCACATGCCTACCAGGTGAACTTCAGGTGCAATTTAAAGCAATTATGTTAAGGTCAAGTCGTGTTGAATTGCGCCAACATATTGGAAGCCCAGCTTCAAGCGGGGTCATAAACTTGGTCAACATTAGATGCTTAGCGGAAATACTCTCCGCTGAGCCATGAAATGTGCGGTAATTACATCTGCGACTAATGGGTGCCTTGACGTTCTACTTGCTTCAACTGTGATATAAGACCAATAAAAAGCCAGTTTAAGCTCTACTTACGATTAGTTTTAATGTTGCAACTAGAATTTGAAGACTCCTTCCAATCTGAGGCACCATTGCATAATTGGTTTTTTTCTTTTCGCACGGTTCAATCAGTTATTAAATTGCACCTGGCCCCAAGGTCCTCAGAGGATCTGACAGTTTTTTACGATTTAATAAGCCATAAGTACACCCGCTCGCTGACCGAAACTTATGATATATGAGCCGTAAATTGAAACTTTATATGTTGCCCGTTGCAGTAGCTGAAAGATTTGCATACAATATTATTACAGCATCTGCTTGGCCTGCGCAACATTTAACGACTGTTTTCTTTTATATTTTGTCGCTCATAAAATTACAGCCATACGCATATTGTTTTTTCCTCTTCATCTTTTATTTTCTTTTATTAATATTAATTGGCCGCAACTGCAGTTGGCCAGCTTGGCTGACTGGCGTGTCTGGCGGCCCACGTAATCAGCCAACCAGATTGGCCATAAAAGTGTGTCCTCAACTAGGTGCAGCCGGCTGGCTTATGGACATGGCTATGACATCAACAGCGGCATCGGCTTGGCTCTTTAATCGTTACATCTCGATAAGACGCACAAATCGCAGAACGAATTAATTAATGAATATTGAGCTGCAATCGGCACAGCCGAAATAAGCCAAATTGCTTGGCGCTCAATTGGAGGCGAGCTCAGCCAGTCGAACTTCAACCCACCAGCCATGGCAAATACGTTAGACGCCTTTGTTCTTTGTCCAAAAACTTGACTTGAATGAATCATTGTGCACACAAGCTCGTAAATCCCAACCAGCCAAAGTCGACAAAAAACAACAACAACAACAACAAACAACAATTGCATATAACAGAAACACGAAATAAATGAGCCAAACTATGAATGGGCTGGGCTACCCTATAGTTGCTATAAAGGGTATATGGGAATATTGATTAAGTTCAATGAACTTTTCTATGACTATAAAAAAATATATTTATAAATATATTTTTTTTTATTTATATATTTTTCTAATATATATGCAAATCTAGTATTATTATTATTATTGTTATTATTATTATTATTATTATTATTATTATTATTATTATTAATATTATTATTATGATTATTATTATTATTATTATTATTATTATTATTATTATTATTATTATTATTATTATAATTATTATTATTATTTTTATTATTATTATTTTTTTTATTATTATTATTCTTAAGAGTTGCTTGAATTTCCAAATCTGGCAAAATTTGTTTCTGCTCCACAAATGAAGTTTTGTTTAACCCTTTTTCAAGTCCGTGAGTATCCATACAAATTAAGAGTTTCCCCCATGTATTTTCCATTTTCCAGCTAGACAATTCAGAAGTCGTCTATCGCATATAGCTGGAGCTTAGCATGATTCTGGAATTGCTGTTGTTCTGCGGCTCAGCGAAGCGTTGCATTTTTGGTCAATTACAGTTTGTCGCGCGGGTGGCTGCCGCTGGCACAGTCGCAGTTTGGCTGTTGGGCATTTCGACTTTGCCCGGTCAATTGGAGGCGTGGCATATTGTATGCTGTTGTCATGCAACGTCGGCGCAACGGAAATGCGCATCCGTTTTGGGCTTCAACTAAATGCAACATTTTGTTTTATTCTACAACAAATGAGCTCCAAATTGGAGTTGGCAAATCTTTAGCCGTTTCTGTGTCAAATCGTAAGCCGAGCCATCCGAAGCCCAAATTTGGTCAGAGTTAGAGCTAGAGACATTGCGTACATTGCCACTTAGAGCAGATGCAACGCTTCGCTGCGCCTGACACTTGCAACCGAAAATTGCATCAATCCGCAGGCAGCAAATGCCAAGAGCCAAAGTTGGAATTTGTGGCTGTCCTCTGCAGGGCTAAGAGCTTCGAAGCTTTCGAAAATTAGCCGATGTGGAAGACAATCTTAACGTATTAGAAGTAGTATTATGTGCAGAATAAGGAGTAGTAGTAGAAGTATTAGTAGAAGTAGTAGTAGAAGTAGTAGTAGAAGTAGTAGTAGAAGTAGTAGTAAAAGTAGTAGTAGAAGTAGTAGTAGAAGTAGTAGTAGAAGTAGTAGTAGAAGTAGTAGTAGAAGTAGTAGTAGAAGTAGTAGTAGAAGTAGTAGTAGAAGTAGTAGTAGAAGTAGTAGTAGAAGTAGTAGTAGAAGTAGTAGTAGAAGTAGTAGTAGAAGTAGTAGTAGAAGTAGTAGTAGAAGTAGTAGTAGAAGTAGTAGTAGAAGTAGTAGTAGAAGTAGTAGTAGAAGTAGTAGTAGAAGTAGTAGTAGAAGTAGTAGTAGAAGTAGTAGTAGAAGTAGTAGTAGAAGTAGTAGTAGAAGTAGTAGTAGAAGTAGTAGTAGAAGTAGTAGTAGAAGTAGTAGTAGAAGTAGTAGTAGAAGTAGTAGTAGAAGTAGTAGTAGAAGTAGTAGTAGAAGTAGTAGTAGAAGTAGTAGTAGAAGTAGTAGTAAAAGTAGTAGTAGAAGTATTAGTAAAGGTAGTAGTAGAATTAGTAGTAAAAGTAGTAGTAGAAGTAGTAGTAGAGGCAGCATAAGTAGAAGCTACTACTACTATGCAAAATGAAAAAAGTAGTAGCAGGAGTGGAAGCATAATTAGGATCAATATAGACTTAGTAACTCTAGTAAAAAGTAGTAATAAAAAAAAGGGAACTTCTAGAGAATGAGATATAGATTTAGTAAAATCAATCTACGTTAGCTGCACTAGCTGAGCTTAAATTGTATCAGTTGCATCAGTTATCAGTTATTGAACATCAGATTTTTGTTATGTTGAAGAAGAGTCTAAAGCCTCTTGGCTCAACCATAAGCTCCTCTTGTTGCAGTGCTTCAGTCAGACATTCCGTCAGTTTGTCCATGCGTCGTTCAGCGAGCGAGGCTCAGCTCACGTGTGGAAATCATTGCAGCCAATGCGCTTTACTTCTGATTCACCTCTTTTTTTGTTTTGTTACGATACTCTGTACTTATTGAACATAAGTTGAAAGAGGGTAGATTGATTGGGAGGGTGAGGCAGGAGGAGTTTAGCTTTCCAGCTGAGAAGCTTGGCTTAGCTAGCCTAGTTTGTTCTTCTAGCTGCATAAGAGTAAGTTAAGTTATGTGCTTATCGATATCTTTTATGTCTTATCGATATATATCGATTATGAAATAATTATATTTGCACAGTAAAAGGAGTCGACTAGGTGTCTAGCTGCTCGGCAGCAGAGGAAGTACTTCTTGAATACAAAAGCAATACTTAATACAGGGTATCTGCTAGTCGTATACACGCTGCAGCTGCTATTGCTGTGTCTTTGAGATCTTCGCGCATAGCTGCATACGAATACAATTGTGTAATAATTCTGTGGGCATGTTTCGAGTCTGACTTGGTCTAAAAACGTGATGCAATTAAGCGTTTGAGATCTGAGAGATTGAGTGGAAGGCACTTTAAATGGATGCGTATGTAAGTGTGTCTCTGTGTGTGTGTGTGTGTGTGTGTATAGAGGAAGTGTGAAAAAGGGTAAGCAAAGTTATGATTATCGTACGTGTTCTCGTACTTAATCTGGTAATCAATTTTTTCCTCATTTATTATTTTTTTTTATTTTTTTGATTGT